TTGTTTGAAATAAAATTTATAAATTCTTGTAATCAAGTAGTTGTTCAGAAGACTTTTTCACTATAGTAAGGGATGTGATTTATGGATTCCAGAGGAACCAGAGTTTTTACTATAGCTTACAGTGACCAAAATGTTCAGTTCCTTTTTGCACATGCATGTGGACATGTGCTATGAATGGATTGAACGGAACATAACACTTAGGTAATGAAAGTGAATAGAGTCATTATGCATGTGCAATAAATGGGTTGAACAGATCATAATCGCAAATATATGTCTGACAGACACACAAAAGTCCTAACATACACACTTCACTACTATAGTGGAGTGTGCTAAAAATGTTACTGTTTATGGAAGTTTTACATTTTTTCAGGAACATATCTAGCTAATCATTGTAGGAAAGATATCAGCAATAAGTACTTGCATACAACTTTTTATAGATATATAATATTACACTACATAAACATTATAAATCTATACTACATACATATTTTTACAAATACATACAGTACACTTATGTGAAAACTATTGATATATCTATATAGAGTTATAATATAAATCTTTCAAAAAAATATTTATATCAACAAAAATTATTTTGAAAAATAAAACATGATTTTATCCTACAAATACAGTAGTACTTTGTACTTCAAACATTCCAGAGTTCAAACAGTCATTTTGAATGAAGCTTCTACATTCGAACTGCACATGCAATGAAAAAATATGAAAAACTGTTAACTGTACAGAAGTATATTTCTTTTATATGTTGTAAATGCAATTCATAAAGTACACAAATGCAACAGCTCTGAACTGTGAGAAAATTTAAAATTGAAATTTTTTTATCTAATTTATAGACTTAAATCAAAAGTAAATTTTTCAAATCTTAAAAACTTTTTAGACATTTTCAGATATCTTAAGTTCTTGTTCAGCTTTTCAATCTATTTTATTATAGAATAGTCCATTCTCTATCAACTAATTTTAATACAGTAGAACTCATTTATTGTAACCACTTTAAGACTCATCTCCTGTACTAATGATAAAACAAATTGATAATATTGACAGTCTTTTACCACAATGACCATTAACCAAACAGATGATGGCAGTATTAATTAAACAAAAATTTGAACAACAAATGCACTTGTGATGTAATTTTATTTTGGAATTCTCCTGCACAAAACTGTTCAAGCCAGAATTCTCTTTTCATTCTTAGTGTCAATTTTATCATCATTTTTGTTTTAATTAATTTTAGTTATTTTAAATCGGCAATGTACTACACCGGGTTAAAGTAAACAAAAAAAACCACGTACCAGGAACCTGTTTCCGGTGTGCTTCTTGGTAAAACGAAGTGCTACAAACATTTTCAAACTTGTAAGTTCTTCTTCAGGTAACATCTAATGGCATTCGCTTAGACATCTGTTACCTGAAGAAGAACTTACAAGTTCGAAAACGTTTGTAACACTTCGTTTTACCGAGAAGCACACCGGAAACAGGTTCCTGGTACGTTGTTTTTTTTGTTTAGTTATTTTAGTTTATACTTTTCTATATAACACCTATGACCTATATATAAAATGTTTACATCTGAACTTTGTCCTGTCATTTTTCTGTGACAATACAAAACTATAATTAGTGGAAATTATGGTTTTCTTGATCCTGACATAAAAACAGCATGTTAAATAAATTTTTTAAAATGTATAACTTGAAGATTTATTAATTTATAATAATTATAAGTTATTCAGTATTGTTTGACTGCTATTTTTATTATTTTTTTTTTTGTAGTGCTGTCTTTAATCAACAGTTAGCATATAATTGAAATAAGAAATTCCAGCAATTTAAGCTACTGTACTGTTAGAAAGTAACTAAATTAATTATTGTTTAATGTTTAAAGCATTTACTAAGATTGCTAATAGTAACTGATAATGAAATAAAGTTATAAAATTTGTCAATTTGATTTAATAACTTAAAATATAAATAAAATATATAAAGTGAATATAAAAATTACATTCATTAACATTAGAGAGATTGAGGCACAAGTTCAAATGTTAAACGTGTACGGGTAGCAGAAGTACACGTTACATGTTTCAAGTCCAAGTAAAAATCGTTGAGGCACACGTTCATAACATCACGTGACTCAGTGAACATCGCGCATTGACTCACGGGAAATAAGTTGAAAAAAATGGCGGAAGCAAAATAAATCATAATTTTAACCCCAAACACAAAAAAATGAAGACGTTTAAGCCGATCGTGTACTCACCAAGCTACACGTAGCAAACGCCATTATCGACGGTCCAGAACTGCCAGATGGCGGCGCTCACCCGTTACCCGTACACGTTTTGGGCTAAATACGTGCGCCTCAACCTCTCTAAT